TTAATTTAATTTGGCAATGTTGTTTCACATTAGACTACTCCTTCCCAAAATGCATGTTCCAGATCTACTTCCTTTGTCCAAAGCATAGAAAAATAAAAAAATGTTTTGTTCTTCAACTGGAATTTTATCTCTATTTCTTTGTTTTTCTTTCCTCTATCTAAATCCTAAACCCATTTTTCTAACCTTCCTAGGTACTTCCAGCTATTGAGGGCCCTACCTGGCCCATCCACCACCCACAGCAATTACTGTCTGTCTATGTACTGGTCTCTCCATATAGTCGGTATTGTAATCAATAATACAGAGTTTGGACTGACTTCAAAATCTCTCAGCGCTCTCACTTGCCTGAAATGGATAGAAAACTACTCTTAAAAACTACAGTGCCTGAAACATGGAGAGGGACTTCAAGTGAAAATGTGGTTCATTTCTTTTTATCACTGTGATACAAATAATCACAAAATCTAAATAGGCAGATCAAAACTGTTTATTGTCTTACATTGATTTGTTTCTAGGGATTTTCTTCTTCTTTCTCCTTTTTAAGTTCCTGTTGGGACCAATGCTACATAATTTTAGGGTAAAATCATTTGGTTTGCCTAGTTCTCCTGCCTACAACCCAGCTATGGAATTCCAAGACATAATTGCATTTTGGCCTCTAGTCACAACTGAGACCTCAATGATCCGGTGATGCTGTGATTCTCCAGGACAAGATTACACAAGCGGAAGACATCCTGGGAGGAACAGAATCTTCATCTACTCAGTTCCTTATTGTTCTTGGATTGTTACATCTTATTTACGCTGATGTACTGAACTCTCTGCAAGTCATTTGTTACACTTTGCTTCTCCCTATGTACCGAATAAAAGTGGGGTAAGCTGGAGGCTTTTGTCTTTGCTGCCCAGAGCAGCACTGATCAGACCCAAAGCTCAGCTTCTTCTCAGTCTCATTTTTCTACCTTTCCCGTAATTCGCCGTGTGCTGCCGTGGCTCACAGGAGACCAGGACTCACTGCAGAGGTTCTGGTAACGTCCCCTTCCCCTGTTCCCTACAAGTTCCTTTTGGAGTGGGGTGGTAACAAGATAGACAGGTACAAACATACAATTCAGCATTCCATCTCTGCTGGCTTCAAGATATACCCTGAGCCACTGGGATTAGTTAGTCCTGTCCTGACCAACACGTATGGTTTTTCTCCTAAACTAATAATCATAGGGAAATTTGGATTCAGCAAGGCAAATAATGCTTACAAAACAAAATAAAAACCAAATGGTAACAAAATAAAACATAAGAATGTATATCAATTATCTGAAGTTCATGGAAATAATATAATTTCTAGGAGGGATCTGGGCTTCTCTGCCCAAGTTTCTAGGTTGTATGAATACTGTGGGCCACGTGCTACTTCCTTTTCTCTCCATCAGCAGAGGCTGCAGGTAGATGAAGGAGAAAAACAATGGAGTTTGCTTCCAAAGCCATCCTGCGCCCACAGCGACACACAAAAGCAACTTGGGATAAGTGTTTTCTCTCCCTACTACATAGATTATTCTGGATAAGAGTTCTTTTCCAATTGGCAAATGAAAATCTAAGGTCTCAGAAGACATTATTTAATAAGATGCCCAAAAGCACCATTAAGGGAATCTTAAACTTGGCTCTTTAAGTAAAGTTGGCTCTACCTTGAAGGAAGATGCAGGCTGAGTTATATCCCCAGTGGATGACAAATATTGTTATCTTTGCTTCCCTTTATGCACAGGAGTCTTGTTTAAAGCCATGGTGCATTAGGCAGTCTCCAGATGTCCAGAAACTTCTACTCAGAAAAATATAATATTGCACTGGGTTATGGGTTTAAGCAGGAGTCTTCACCTTATATATACTTTGGAATAAAATCATGTCGTTGAAAACTAGGAGTGACTTCCAAGCTCTACCACTGGCTAATAACTGTTCTGCCTGGAGAAGTTACTTAGCCTCACATAGTTTCAGTTTCCTCATCTAAGAAAATGAAGATTGTTTTCTACATTGAATGAAATATGATACGTCTAGCAATTAGAAAATACCTAGCAAAGAATAAGTGCTTGCTAAATGATGGCTTGTATTTCCTTTAGACCATATCCAAATGTCTTCTTTGTATTCTCAAATGAAGAATTCATCAATAAGCCAAACTCAAGGGTGAGTCTAGCCTGCTGGTAATGCAACAGCATCACTTCCTCTCAAGGGATCTGAATTTATAGAATCCAGAACCTTCTAAAGGAATCCATTATACTCTCTTAGAGAGTAGTTTGGGGGCTGGAAAATCTTAATCTTGAATTCTTATCTCTTTGCCACTTCCCACCCCCCAGTCCTCCCACTGGATATTTAGAACTCCTTGTAAACTTCACAGAATTGAGATGCATTGAGATCTGTAGGAGGTGTTGGAAGGAAAGAGGGGGGCAGGGATGTTAAAAATCAGGGCAACAAAAATACCTATGATGTCATTTACCCTGACTTTTGAACCACCAGCTGCAGCCTCTCCACTTGTTTGGTGTGATACCTCACCTCTCCCATTCTGTGTTATGAATTAACCCCCAAAGCATACCTCAGAGGGTCTTCTGCTAGAGTGATTCCCACACCTTCCCATCTCCTCACAGCCCTCTTTCCTTCTCTCTTTCCTTTTCTGACTTTTAGCACAGCCAATTAAACCTGAACAACGGGTGGATGGAGGAAATATGCTACATCTATGGAATGGTACAGCAGGGACCAGTTTCACTGTTAATTTAAAATGCTAGAATTAATTAGGTAGTGTAAATGAAGAATTTAATAAGCACTCTTTACAACCACAAGTTTTACTTTTATTAAACACTGCTACCAAATGAGGGCAAATATCTCTAGTCTCTATTTCCCTGCCTCATTCCCATAAGCTCTCTACAAATAAGAAAAAAATTTTGCATGAATTAAAAAATTGCATAATTATAAATTTATGCCTGAATTGTATTTCTGCTTTCAACCCATAAGCTTCTTTAAGCTCAGATGCTACTGTATATCTCTGCTTGTGCTGGAGAGGGTGCTAAATAAACCAAAGTTGACAATTTTGGTTTTGTATACCAAATTAAAGGCTGTCTCCGAAGCTGTCACTCCTATTCAAATCCACTCGGTGAACTACCAAATTAGCATTCTTTTAGTAAAGGAATCTGCTTGTTTAAACATGTGTCTTTAGAAAACAAGGAACAACACCATGAATCAGTACTTCTCAAAAATCTCACTACCATTCTAAGGGAACTCTTCTGAAAAGGTGATTAATAATATTCACAGATATAGCTGGGAGAATCCCAATTTAGAAGGTAAGGCTGAACCAAAAATATACTTTCTATATAGGAGTGGGAAGAAGAATCATATGGCTAACTGGTTTTAATTTGGTTTGAATTATCATTCTATTATATAAAGATAATTCAGGAATCTAAATAAGAGCTTTCTGAAACTATAGGCAATTCTGTTAAAGTGTGAATGATCCACTGTTCTGGGATAAGATCATTAAAACTTAGTCTTATTTGGAAACCTTAATTTTTCTGTTCTAGCTATTTTCCTTAAAGCATACCAGTTGTATCTATAATAATGACATCCTCCATTTACTAAAAGACTTCTATCCAATGGGCTCTGTGCTAGGTGCTATATGGCCAGTCTCTCATTTCATCCTTGTAACACACCCTTTGAAGTAAGTATTTTCCAATTTTACAATGAGGAAATTGTGTTTAGATGGTTATATGACTTACATTACAGAAAGTAACACTTATTTCAATTTTATGATATTGCAAAGTGGTTAATTTATAAGGGGACAAATTTACATGTGAAGTATGAGAATGGGAGAATGTATACGTCTATATCTGTATGCACAAACAGACATTGTAGTGTCTGATTTAAAATCAAGGTGAGATGTCTCTTAATTTTAATCATACAGCTTCTGGGAGATTTAGGCCAGTTTCTTGTCAATGAAACTGTCCAAAGAAAGGGAAACAAAAGTCAACACTCTGAACTGACAAATGCTCAAAGTTGAAGTGAATGATTTTACAGAGTAGTCTTTTTTCTTTTTTTGGTACCAGGGATCAAACTTGGGACCTTGCACTTTCGAGGCAAGCAGCGGAACCACTGAGCTAAATCCCCGGCCGAAGTGAATGATTTTAGGAGTAGAGTATCAGAGAGCACCAACTTCGCTGACCTCATTGTGTAGTCTAATGTTTTTCTAAGAAAATATTTTAATTTCACATAAGATTACAGGGAAATTTCTCCCAAAAGAATTACAGTATCACTGGCTGGCAAACATTAGGTTCTCAATGAACAACTGTCAACTAGGAAAAAATCAAAATGTAAAAAATACAACTAATGAGGTTGTAGGTGGAATTACTTCACTATCAACTAAAAAGTCCCTAACTTCTCAAAGAATATCTTCAAAACAAACAATAAAAAATAACTCACATGCAGATCTTCATTAAGCATCTCCCTTCTGCTGCAAAGTAGTTATATTCCAGAATAGCCTGCTATCTGCAGGGCCTGTTCCTCCTCAGGGACAATAAGCAGTTGTGTCACCCTTCCACAAGTCCACCCTGGCCCCCTTTAAAATACTTGTCTCATAACATGGAAGAAAATGACATACACATCCAATGTTTGGGAGAAAAAGAAATGAATAAAAACTAGTGTGGAGTACAGGGAGGGCAGAGGGTAGAACTGGCAACTACAGAGCAAAGGGAACAGATGGCTCATTAACAATAAAAGAGGATAAAATCAGAGGATCCTTTCACATAAAGGTGAAGGAGCTCCAAAATCTTCATCTGCTTCCTAGTCCCTACAGTCTATAATATGGGTTTATGTGGTGTACAGAGACATATATGGTGTGAGTTTGTGGCTGTGTACCCATGACATGCTTACATGTGGGATAGATGACACAGACACTCTGATGAGTAATCATGTATGTCCATTTCTGCCAAGGTCCACATATCCAATGGAACAACATACTGTGAATATCATGCCTAGAATATTGAAGAAGAGCGTACCTGTAATTTTGTCTCTCACGAGTTTGCAGGATTCTATTTCACCAATGCTACCAAAGAGACTCCTGAATTCTTCTTGGGTCATATTTTGGGGTAAATAGTTGACGATGAGGTTGGTTTTGCTGTCATCTGTGGCTGCCCCTGTCTGCATAGGAGAAGGACAGTTTCTGTTGTTGGTGGAGGGTCCATTGCTTGTATTGGATGTCGGGCCATTTGACACCTGAGGCTCCATGGTGCTAATTATCTAAATTAAAAAAATATTACAAAGAATTCTTTTGAAATCTCAAAGACACAATTTCCCTTTTAAGATTTTATTTTATTTTTTGCAAAGAAAGAGAACAAGATGAAGCAAGATGGAGCAAAAGAGACTGGGTTGTGAACACAGCCAATTTAGAAGCATGTTTTTAACCAAAATGTTAAACTCCCCTTGCTATTTTTAGGCCAGCCCTTAGATTTTGAACACAGACTAGAATGCAGTGGGAACTCTCCCATTATTTTGTTAATGAAAAGCTAATTCCTGTTTTCATTACACAATCACTCTCAGAAATGTATACTTAAGCCACACCAAATTATAATTAAAATGTAAAGTAATAATCATGATTAAAATTATAGTTCCATTAAAGCTGAAAAAGCTAAATATAGAGGGTTATATTCACAAGATCAAATACAGTACCTGTTTATTAATACCTCATAAAGTAAAATGACATTAAATTAAGTGGGGCTGTTCCACATGGGAAGAGTTTAGATTTTCACTGATACTTAAACACTGATCAAACTTCTGACTTCATAAGTACATGCTAGGGAGCTGCAAAGTCATCTAATGATTTTAACCCAGTCATTCTGTTACTGTTTCTCCCAGATCTCTAATGGAACAAAACACAAAAGTCTTCTCCAGTTCTTCACCTTAGATCCAGCACAGCTAAAGGCCCTCCTCTTGTGTATTACTCAAAAATGACTTTCTCTGGATTTATATATTTAATTAAACAAAGATTTTCTAGCATGTGTGAACTGTCTCAGGCAGTTTGGAAAGAAATAAAAAAAAATGAGTAAGAGTCCTTATCATCAAGCTTCTAGTCTACCTAGGATACAGGTGAGCAACTGGTGGTAGGACAATGGGGATGTAGAAGGGAAGCAAGCCATTCCTCCCTTGTACAGGATAGGAGGATTCAGGAAAAATACCAAGAAGATAAAACTAGAGTACAATTTTAAATGGAAAATGGATTTAAACTCATAGAATCACCTCATAAAGATGTCCTATACAGTATAACAAAAATGGAAAATCACTAAACTGCAGAGCCAGAAGGCCCTTAGGGAAATAACATCTAGTTTAATGCTCTCATGTTTGAGATGAAGTCCAGTAACTTTCTTACCACCACAAAGTGGGCCAGAGTCTGGGCCAATACCCAGTTTTCCTGGTCCCAAATGCAGCCCATCACTTCCACCTTTCCATCTTATCTTATTATTATGCCCTACTTGTCTATTATTATAGGGCTTTTGTTCCCTCTGAAACTGACCATCAATTCACTGGGAATGAAATCATGCTCTGTTATTCAGCAGCTGTGTGGCATCTGGCAAGACATAAATTCTAGGAGCCTCAGTTTTCTCCATTTGGAAAATGGGAACAATGCTACTTGCTTTTTGTAAAATGGTGAGAAGGATCCAAGTGACATGACATATAACCACAACTGGATATTTATTAAAGTTACCCTGCCATTCACCTTATGCTTTTCTTAATGACTCCTCATAAGATGGTAATGAGGCATATTCTAAAACTCTACATCCTATAGACTAGGAAACCCAAGGTGTGGCAGATATCTGATAATTTGTAACTTTCATTAATACTATTCAGCTGCTCAGAAATTTTTTTTTGCGGGGTAAGCTTTTTCACTGACTATAACATACATGGATGAAATATATACAAAGGCTACAACTCAAAGAATGTTTATAAAATAAATATAACTTATACCTGGGTAACCATTTTTCAGAGCATGACATAGAACATGACCAGCATTACAGAAATCTTTCTCTTGTCCCCTCCTTTGCCATTCACACACCCCATGCCCCACCAAATAACCAGTATTCTGATCTCCAATCCATAGCTTCACTTTAACTAATTTTGAACTTTATACACATGGACTCATAGCATATCTATTCTTTTGTATGTTTTCCCAGGTCTGAAGTGTCATCTATTGTTACATGTAGCAATCAGACTGTTCTTCACTGGTATAGAGAATTACACTGTATAGAAATGATGTGTTTTATTTCTCTTCTGAACATCTGAATTGAAACTAGTTTTGGGCAATTGTAGATATTGCTGCATTATGCAAATGACATTTGGTACATATACACACACATTTCTGTTTGAGATATTTTTTGAATCAAATGGTATTAGTATGTTCAGCTTTAGCAGACACTACCAAAAGTTTTTCAAAGTGGTTGTACTAATTTTTACTCCGATCAGCTGGAGATGAAAGTCCTCATCCTCATCAATGTTCATAGGTAGCTTTTATGGTTTTGGTTTTGTTTATTTTTTCATTGCAAGCAGAGTGGTATAGTAAAAAGGAATACATTTTTGAGTGAAAAAAACACTGCCTTAAACTTTTAGTCCTATCACTTATTAGCAGTGTGATTTCACGAAGGTTATTTCAATACTGAGCCTCAGTTTCCTTTTCTGCAAAATTAGAATAAGGCATCTTCAGGATGGGAAAAAATATATATATATAGTGTCTGGAACACAAAGTGCCTAGAGGCATCATAACTATCACTCCTCATCATGCCCCAGATAGGTGAGTGTTACTGTGTTTCCTCTTTTGATGGTCACAAATGGGAAATGAAACCAAAAGAAAAACATGAAGTCTGAAGAGCCAGGGAAATAAAGCAAATTGAAGAGGGTGGGGAGTGTCTAAGATTCTTTACCATCATGTAAGTAACTTTAAGTGGCTCCACTTCTTACATCACCAGACCTTTCTTCTTGGCTTCAGGTCAACTGTAGGATTCCAGAAGGCTGGTCCAGAGAGCAAAGAGAAAGCAAAAAGCTTCTGAGAAGAATCTTAACTCAAGTTCTCCTCAGAACTGATAGAAACTGTACCCAGCAAAGCCTAGCCAGTTGCTCTGCTCTCTAGGCAAGGGTCCAGGAAAAGAATCGGGGAGATGGTGGGTTTGAGGGTGAAGTATGCTAATGGGGACAATGTTGCAGACAGAGCATCAGCACAACTCCTGGCTGGAAGGCAGGTTTTTGTTCTGCCCAGCTTCTGGTCCTCTTAGGCCTGTTCAGTGCCTCCATTTGCTATGTCTTCTCAGTGCTTCGCTGAGCTAGGTGTCCAAACAACAAACAGGAAGTAATGCCAACTCAGTAAGGAACTTGAAAATCAGAAGTTATCATTTTAGGAGGCCTGGCTGGCAGAACCTCAGCTCTACCCAACTACTGAATTTTGATTTTATGGCAACATCTTCAAGTCCAATAAGAACAAAACTAGTCCCACAGTTTAAGGAACCTCCTTCTTGCTTACCACCTTTCTCATGTAAACTCTCTTCAGCTGCTCCACAGAAACCTAGAAAATATCCTGCGTTGAGGCAGCTTTTCGATGCTAATGATAGAAGATGGAATATATAGAAGACTGTACATCGCATACAAGCATGCTGAGATTTTGTGCAATCAAAACTGTTCAGGGTCACATGGCAGTCAGGTTCATCTTTTGTTCACTGCATGCTTACCTCACAAAAACATTTGGTGAAAGCCTGAATGCGTCCATGTTAACATCTTATAAGTGTACTGCTCCAAAAAGGCTTAGGAAGTATCAAGGCTGCAGCAAGTCAGTTCCCTCACTGGCTTTCTAGAGCTCTTTATATTCTATGTGGACTTCCTAATTTATGTTGATTCTTGGAGTAGACCCCTGTTAATAGATTAGGCAATCTCAACTGGACTCGAACCTTTGAGAAGGAGTCTCAAAATGCAATGTTCATCACTGAGCTACTTCAGCCAACCACAACTATAAATTAGGTCATGTAATTCTTGTGTAATAGAGATGGAGTTCTCTTTACTCTGCACACACACTACACTGTTATCCTTTTGTGTATCCAGAAAGAACTGAGGAAAATACAGGCACAGAGAGAATTTTCTCAACTAAACTGTACAATCTGAAAGTTGAGAAATATTTGCAAGTGTGTTAACATACATTATGTAATAAGATCCCTCACTGTTCTTAATGATACATCCCAGGATGCACCACAGGCTAAAAGAAATAATCAAAAATGTAGATGTCAGCATCAACTGACATGTGAATGAATCGAGAGGATTTTAAAACATAACCAAGAAAATAAGAGAAGTTATGAAGAGGTAAAGATATTGAATGTATAGACACAAAACTATAGCATTTTAAGGTTACAAGATAGATTTAAAGACAGGACACCTGTGTTCTTTCCATGGGAAAACAGATCAGAGGTAGATAAATGTTTGGTGTGATGTAAATTGTGAGAAGGACATTCTCCAATAGCACAGAGGCTACAGAACACTTACTTCCTCGGGACAATGCGTGTGGTATTCTTACAGCCCAATTTTCATTGTGAATAAATGTATCAGTTCCTCAAATGTGCATATGTACTTTAACAAAAAATTCTGTGTGAGTCTCACAACCAACTTTGCAGCTGACCAGGTTCCAAACCCCTGACTTGTCCTCCTTTCCTCTTCTGAGTGGCAGTTAAGTGACAGAATTGCAGTCAGCACCCAGGATAGAGCATTGAGGAGGTTCAGTTGATTTCAAACTCTAATCGTTGTACAAAGCACTATATTAAATCTTTTATGTTCCTGTGATATATTTTAAGAAACATTATACAGGCAGAAAATTTCAGGGATAAACTATTAGAGCAGTGCACAATAACACAGGCACTCAAATCCTGTCATTGCCAGTGTCGATGGTTTGAATGACTAATTACTCATACTCAATGCATTTAACCTCACCCCTCCCACCACTCTTTTCTGGGAAATGTGCAACAAAAGCAAAAGGGAAAGCCTCAGATGCAAAGCTGCCAGATCATCACTAGGATCTTTCCATCTGTGCAGAGGGGCTGTAAGGAGCAGGGGCTACACCAGTCTCTTTCTCATGGCATGGGGGGTGGGGCAACCCTCTCCGCTCTTCATGGCACCTGCTCACCACAATCTAGGGTCTTTATATTCATTCGTGGTACCTGTAAATACTTCCTGGACACACCATGACATATAAAAAGTTTTTATTTTCACCATAGCTAGGTCTGGGTCTGTGAGATCAACTGAGATGGAGCCCCAGTGTCCCCAGCCCCAGAAGGTGATGGGTGCTATGCTGAACAGTTATCACTACCTTGGTATGAGAAGTTGAGTAGACAGTGGATAAGCCTTACAAGATAAGAAGAAGTAGAGTTCTAAATTTTTCTATCAAGGAGTAAAAAGAATGTTAATCAGGGAAACTTTCTCCAAAATTGTCACAGGCTTAAATGGGAAGGATTAACTTTGGGCTTTCAATCTGGAGGCAATAGATTAGATTTTCTGGGGAGAAAGGGCCAGTGCATTCAATAAGTTCTCTAAGGACACCATACTAGCCAAAGGTTCAACCTTCCTGGTTGAATGAATTTGAAACAGAGACAAAAAGCAAACTTGTGGATGCCAGGGCTGGGGGGCCGGGTTGTGGAGAGTTATTGTTTAATGAGTGATAGAACTTCAGATCTGAAAGATGAAAAGAATTCTGGAGATAGACAATGGTGATGGTTGCATAACAATATGAATGTATTTAATACCTCTGAAACGTACACCTAAGATAATAAATTTAATCTTACATGTATTTTACCCCAATAAATTTTTTTTTTAAAAAAATGTATGCCTGGCATTGCATAAATGCTCAATAAGTGTCTCGTTGTTTACTTGTTCTATTGTTTTTCATTACATGTGAAATGGAGATGATATTAGTACTTTATTGGCTTGTACCTCACAGTGTTGTTTGAGGGAGTCATTGAGTACCGGATATACAACAACTGTCATTCATTCGACAGTTTTTTATCCAGAATCTAGCAACTGTCAAGCCTTATTCTATAAGCAGTAGATACTATGAGAAACAACTTTACATTATAGAAGGCTGTCCTGAGGTAAAGCTCACTACTGTCATTTATCATTCCAGAGCTCCGTGCAGGCCATCATCTACTCATCACATGCTCTTAGCAGTCCTCAGCTTCTGGTTGGAGGTGTGGTTTCATTGTTGAATTTATACAAAAGGGTCAGGAGGAAAGAACCATTGAGGGTCATAGGAATATAATGCTTCTTTCAAATACTTTCCTCTTTCACTTTCAAACTCTTTTAAATGTCAGCTATCCCAGAAACTAGAAAGGAATGGACGACTGCAAACATGTCTCAGGTTTGTACAACTGAGACACACATATATCTTATTAAATATTTTAATAATATTTAAAATTCATTTACCATGTTGGAAGGACTTTTGAAAATTTATATATAAACCTAACCCTTATGTAATAGAACAAGTGCTCTCAAGAGCATGAAGAATAATGTTTACCAAGGGCAGCCACTGAATCAAACCATTAAAGAAACAGATTTAAATTATTCATGAGAACAAAAATAAAAGTCCTAATTCTCTTTGTAGGCATTTCCCACTTAACCCTTATAAAATTCTGACATGCGGTATGTTAGACTGTAGTGGAATAGCCCTGAGTACTGTATCTCACTCACCTTTTAAAAGCCTGAAAAACAAATCCCCAAAGTTAGAAAATTACACAGCATGCTGTGTGTTTCTGAAGACAGACATTATTATTAGGGATAATTCCTCACTTCTCTTCTTGCTTCTTGAAAGATACTAAAAATGTCCATCTAGCCCCCCCAGTTTCATATTTCTTTAAAGTTTCTTTCATAAGCTCATAAAATCCTTACTCTTCCCTCCTTTTTTGCAAGGGGTTTTAATTTGCTGCAGTCCCTTCTGGTTCATTTTTTTTCTGAATGCAACAGTTTTCCATTATGGTTCAGCTTTGAAGGAGACACATATTATTAATAGGGGCCAAGAGGAAGGGCTGAATTGATGATCTGATCACCTAGGAAAAGGGAACCAGGGAATGCCAGCATTCCAACCAAAGTACAGGTAACGACTCATAAAGACCACTGGGGCAGGGGATCCTGGCTGAAGACCACACTCCAGTTCCCCAAACCATTCATACTAAGTTTCTGTAGATTCCTTTGGTAGGTAACTAGAAAATTCTAGTAAAAAAAATTAATATCAAGCAGGGAAAACACTCTGACAGCTTAATAATACCTTTGGGCAGATACACAAATAACCCGAAAAATCTATTTACTCTAGGAAGTTAGGTGGTAATAATTCTCAGCATCTCCTTAAAACAAGTGTATACAATTCCACACAAGTTTACTGAATGCTGTTATGTGCTCAGGCATTGTTCTAGGAATTGAGGAAACAAAAATAATTCGGTCATGCTCATATAGGGTTCAAACTAGGAGGATGGCAGAGGAAGCCAGTAAGCAAATACTTCATTACAATCAACTGTATACACCCCTTTACTTTCAGCAATCCACCTCTGGAGTCTTTCTAATGATGCCTCTCCTCACCCAAAGCACACAAATTGAACACGCTGAGATTATTCCTATGCCATTCTTACATGGAACTGACAGTCCTGTTCCTGGTCTAAACAACTCAGTCCTAAACAAATGGCTGTTTGTAACAAGGAGGGAAGCTTGAGGCATCCCTCCTTTGAAACAGCATTTTCTTCAGTGGAGATGAACACCAGGCACGCCAAAAGTATTCTCAGTGGAGGTAGTTGGAGCTTTTAAAAAGTCAGGAGTCACCAGAGAGAACAAGAGGCATGAATACTTAAAATAGCAGGGCCAGCACAGATATGAAAAGCATAATTAAAATTTAATTTCTCTTAGGCATTATTCTCAAATTCAAAGAAATCCAAAGTTTTAGTCTTCTTCTGATATATCATGCACATTTTCTCTCCTACATAAATACTGGCCTCCTTTAC